GGGTTCAAATTTTACCAATGCAAAAATAACTTTATTTATCAAATGCTGGTTGATCAAAGAATTGTAAAGTTAATGAGAAAAGGAAATAAGTTTAAAAAAATTTGTGCCAAAAATAAAATGAAATCTAACAGAGGTGTGAACAGAAGTAGTGATGACGGATGATTTGATGTCAGCTTTTATCTCAACTGCCTGCAAATCTACTGATGAGCTCATAATATTATTATGAAGAACAGTGTTCGTTTTATGCATTTAACACTTTCTCCTTTCACCCTGAGGACCGGTAGTAATGTGAGTTGAATATGATTTAGTATATCTAGTGCATATTCTAGTTTTGATTGGTCAGTTGGGTTTTGATGGAAACAGAAGTGAAATCAAACTTTTGAAAAGGGTCCTCATTTTTAGTGATGCAGAACATATGCACAAATGCATAGCTGTCAAGGTGTCAACAGGCACTTAAGAAACCAGATAAAAAGCATCATGCTGTCATGTTTTAAAATGGAAAATAGAGTTAAAAAGAGTGGAATCAGCAAGGAATGAAGTATATAGGCATGTAGTCAACACTCTAAATTGTATAGAAACGCAATAAAATTAGACACTTCATTCAAATTTTATCGAGATATGTTTGAAACGAATATGAGCAGACGGACAGTTGAATCGCAAGTAAAGACAAGTGTCAGACATAACCCAGGAAGACCATGTCGCTCAAAAATAAACATTTAACCTAAATGTTATTTCTTAGAAGAGATTGCAGTAGACAGTGATCTCTAAGTGACCAAACATTGAAGTGCTTCCTGCAAATATGGATAATTTGTACTTCGCAACCAACCATTAGAATTGGGGAACTACTTTTTCCTCCCTACCAATTAAAAGAAATTGGATAAAAAATGTTCAAATAATGTTTCAGAATGTAACCCAATTCAGTTACAAAGTATTCGTTTTTCCTTCAACAGCCGATTAAATGAATGTTTTTAAGAAAATGTTAGATGCCTCATATTCCCAAGTTCTATTCATAATTCCCCATGCACTATTTAGAGCAAGACTTTTGTTTGATTACTTTCAAAACCCATTTTTCTTCTTTCTCAGTTTCTATGAGAAAATTCACAAATATAGTATCACCAATTCAACTCAGTCTCCTTAGTCATCATGCTTTTCAATTGAAATAGAATCAAGATGAATGTGACAAAAATATTCAATTGATTTGAGGTTACAGTGACCTGTAAGTCTGGTAATGAAAAAGTACTTTAATGATGTCTATTTAGTATGCACCTCTTGTTATGATGTTTTTTCTTTTTCTTGCCAAATGTTGATTTTTGACATTTCTGTATTCAGTTACAGTAAGACCTGTCTCATCTGAATGCCTCTGGGACCAGCCAAGTGTTTGGGTTAGCAGGTGTTCATATTTCAAGGTTTTATAAACATGTAAGTCAATTGGAGATAACAAAATTGGAACAGAGATAAAGTGTTCACATTGAGAGGTGTTCAGATTAGAGAGGTGTTCAGATATACAGGTTTCATTGTCTATGAATTTAGAAAAACGTGATAATTCATGTAAAAATGAGTGATGATTCATGTAAAACAGTAATGATTCATGTAAAAATGAGTGATGATTCATGTAAAAATGAGTGATGATTCATGTAAAACTGAGTGATGATTCATATATCAAAACAGGTTTCTACTTTTCAGCTCATGTTTAAACATCATAACCTTATGCATGTACATCTTTTGGCCCACACGTGAATCTAATGATTTAAAATGCAATCAATTAATGGATGTATAGTCTACAGTAAAACCTGCACAATGGAACACAATTGGAACACCTCTATTAGTTAAACACACTAAAAGTATATGACCCATTGCAGGCTTTATGTAAAATGAACTTCTGCAAGTGTGGAACACGTGTGTGAAAGTTCTGTTAATGTAAAATGAACACACTTTTTATGTAAATGAACACACTTATACATATTGGAAAATGTGAATGTATAGGAGGTCAAATTATAATTTAGTAAATGTTTGTTTTGACGGTGTGCTAGAACAAGAAGGCATTTTGCATGTGAGATCCTGCATGTCTTGGCACTCTGTCGTTAAAAATATTTATAAAATATTGTACGTTCTTTCAGACAAATCCCACTCGTTACTTGATGTTCCCTTCATATCATTTGATCATTATAGGCTATGATTATCAAATTGTTGTCAAAATTAATGTTGGTCAAAATGTGGACAAGAATAGCAATACTGTATCATGTCTTTGCCCTGCTCCATCCTCTTAGTACCCCATCCCCTTCTAACACCCCCCCCTCCCTTTGCCTAACACCAAGTAATTTATCAAAGACTAAGTAGAACATATTATATTGCATTCATAATTAAAGGAAATGCCCCCACAAAACCACCTTACACTAATAACCAGCATCTTCAACGGAAACCATATTTTAGAAACAAGTTATTGATGAGAGACCACCTTGCCTAAAGCCAATTGTACTAAAATAAACTTCCTGACCAACTAAGGATACGATATCTCCTCACTCCATGTGGTAGCCATGAAATTATGTTACATCCCTAACTCCCATCAGCTAGCTAGTCGCAGTATTCTCCAATTTAACAGTGCTCTCCCCAGGAATTTTTTGTTTGGAGGATTTTGTTATTTTTTAAACAACATTTAGGAATTTTCAACTTTATGTGCAACATTTTTGGATTTTGTAATTTTTGTGCAACTGTTACGAATTTTGTAATTTTTTGTGTAACATTTTAGGATTTTCTAGTTTTTCACTGTATCATTTTAGAGTAATACTGAATTAATGGAGAGTGTTATGAAATACATGGAGGTGCTGTGCCTCAGAGATTCAAATATGGGAAATAGCACATGATTTGAATGCTGGAAATGTCTCAAGGTCTCAAATGTAGATTACATGACCTTTTATGGGGGGTTACCTGTTATAAAAGTCTAAATGAGCCAAGAGCATTAAATTAGTTACCAGACGGTTTCTCCCAAAGGAGACTTGATCTTTCCTTTGTACCCAATTGCCCATTTAAGATCATCTCCTTCTGGTTTGGGTGATGAGTCATGCAAATCATCAAAGGCCATAACATTGATACCACAAGGTGCATATAAAACTTGGAAAAGATATTCAGGAAAAGCCAACATGACCTGGGGTAAGGAAAAGATGACTCACACTTGTGGAAAAAACCTTCACCCAAAATATCTGTCTGCTCAGGCATTTTTCACTCATTTCTCTCTAAAATTTGAATAAAGTCTATCATTTTCTGGCGTTTCTATACAATTTGAGGAATTCCCTTTTTGCATGTTCTTTTATACCTAGATTGATCCACTATTTTCTATTGAATTTTGCATTTCAAAACATGACCCTTATGTGGATTTTATCACGGTTCATTGTTTTTACATCTGTTTCCTTTATAACAATCATTCCTCTAAGTAGGGTAGACACATTGCACTTGGCAGTAAACAAAATCTTCTGTCTGTCATGTGTTAAAGATACAAGACAAGCAATATACATGTGTAGTCCCAAAATTACCCTGGGGGCTAGTGGTAATTTTTACCCTCTAAATATGGGACATAGCCAATTTATTTTTTTTAGCCAGTGTCTGCTTAGTGTTATATTTACAGGCCTGTCAACTGTCCCGCAATTTGCGTATTTGTCACGCATTTGCTGAGGAATTTGAAGTCACGCCAGTTATTTTTGCGTGACAGAAAATGTCACGCAAATACGCATTTTACCTGGTAATTGTCAAGCAAAAATATTTCTGTAGAAAAATTTCTAAAAAAGATCGTCTACACAGCAAAAATATGAACGCCGGAAAAAAATGTACGCATTTCGTTCGGACTTTTCACGCGAATTTGCCCCCCCCCCCCCCCCCCCCCCCCGTTGATGGATTTTTGAAACGCAAGCGCGAAAAATTTGAGGTGTTCAAAATTTGGCAAGATGTAATAAAATTTAAACCAAGGTGTTCAAAATTTGGATCAAGGTGTTCAGATTTGGACCAAGGTGTCCACATTGTGAGGAGAGGTGTTCAACATTTCCAAGTCACTCATGTTAGGTGTTCCCAAGTTGACAGGCCTGTATTTACAAAACAGGTTATGACACTTCTCCATTAGATCTCACTTAAATAAGTTTTCTCCTCCCAGAGCACACTTTGAGTGTGTGTTTACATTTTTTCCACTCATAGTAAACACCTTGTAATGGCACATGCATGTACTTCACAATTTGAAAGGAAAATAATGGGCTTGGTTTCAATCTTTTTAACTTAACTTTTAACTTTTATTTGGGATTAGTCCTCCTTGGTTAAAGAATCAGGAATCAAAGGCAATTCAAAATTACCAGAGGCTAAGTTTACATGTTTTTGGTAAAGTTATAATGAGTTGGTATCCCCACATCATGACAAGCATCAACCCATTAAGTAGATCTATTCATTATGGTAAACCAAACAATTATTCAGTTTCACTCAACTAAATGCATTTACACTTTGAGATGGGTCTTTGTTCTCTGCAACTCAGTATGTTGCATGGACACAAGAAAATTGCTCTCTTTTATGATTGAAAAATGGGGAGCCCAAGAGAAGGAAAGGGAATGGGCCAACAGTAGGATCGTTAATGGCTATAATCAAATTAAGCTAGGAACTTTCCCCATTTCCAAAAATAAGCATCATGAAGATCAACCCTTTCCACTGTTCCATGCTTTTTTTTTTATAGAATTTTCAGTGAACGGACCAATATTCTAAAACATTTCTATATAATTTTAGAGGGTTTTTAACACATGCCTATTTACTTTATTCAATCAAGTAGAACCTCCTTCCCCCTCCCTCAACACTATCTATTCACCACTCTCTCCTGGAAAGAGTAGGGGGGGGGGTTAAATGAGGGGTAAAAGTAATTTTAACAAAATAGGAACATCTTTTGGTATGTTACACACTGATTATATATGTGATCTTAAATGCAAAGTGTCCCATTTTTTGTGGTGCAACCTGTAGACCAATAAATTTTTTCTTACCATTTTTTGACCCAACTGTCCATGGCTCATCAGCGTCAAAATGTGTGTCTCCAGCACGATCGTCAGTCCCCGGGAAAAATGCATGAGCCAGCACCATACCTGTACAAAATATATCTACTTTAAACATAAACCAATGTAACATTATTGGAGCAGAATAGGCATGTGGGAAAAATTTACAAAAGAATGATGTACACATTTTCAATTGAAACTTTATTTTCTAACCCACATACACTCCCCTCCATAAGTTTGGCAACTAGTGGGTCACTTATCAAAACCATTGCAATTAGAATGAATTAAACAATTTAAAGTAAACTTTCAGTTGCCAAACTTATGGAGGGGAGTGTAGCCACAGATGCTTACCTTGTCCATCAAAAGGATAGCCATCATTATGGAAGTGCCTACCAAAGAGTAGGTAGATATCAGCATGATCAGCTGTGTCAATCTTAGAGAAATCTAAGTTAGTGACTCCACTCCATACCCTGAATGCTTTGTCTATAGCGTCTTCTATAGTGTAACGGGACAATTTAGGTGAATAGTTTAGAAACCTGCAAAGGATGAGATTATGAAAGTTAGTCTATTGCAAGTTTAAATGAAATGTTGCATTGTGTTGTATTGTATTGCATTTTGTTGTACTGTATTGCATTGTATTGTATTTCATTGAATTGTATATTACTGTGTTTCATTCGCTTATTGCATTGATTTGCATTTGCAGTTTGTTGTGTAACTTTATACTGAATTGAATAATGATCCATTGCATTGCATTTTGTTTCATTGCATGATGTTGTATTTTATTGCATTGAGCTATGTTGCATTAAATTGTGGTGTATTGCAATTTATTGCATTGCATTATACTGTATTGTAATATTTTATATAGTATGGCACTGTATTGTATTATGTTGTGTTGAATTGAATTGTGATTACATTTCAATGAGTTGTATTGCATTACATTTTGGTTTGCATTATGCCGTATTAAATATCGTATTCATAGTACAACATATTGTATTATGTAGATTGTATTGCATTAGTATTGCATGACGTTGTATTGCAATATGCTGTATTATATATGTTGTGATATACTGTCACGACTGTGCCACATTATCTAATTTTGCAGTTGTTTATCTCATTGTATTGTATTTTATTGTATTGTATTGTATTGTATTGTATTGCATTTGAATTGTGTTGCATTTGCATTGAATACATCTGATTCTGTTTGTCCACAGAAGTTACATAATCATGAGATACTTATGGATGAAGTAATGTTGTACACCATGTGTCAAATAAACAGTAACAGTTTTATTTAGTATTTGGAAGAGGCAAATAAATAAATAAACAAAACATAGATAAATATTTAGGATAGTTTTGTAGAACACGGTCAAGTTCACCAAGAAGTATTTCTCAAGTGTTTGTTTTTATTACACAATGTGTTATTGTCGCCCAGATACAGGGTGGCCCCCAAAAAGCATATTCTTCATTTTTGGAGGGTTCTTTTTTTTGGGTCACCCTGTATGCAAATAAAGTAGGTTAAATCAATCAATCATTAATCAATCAATCAATTCAATCAATCAACCAATCAATATGTCATGAGGTAGTGTATAGATTTTTGAGCATGTTGCAAATGTGTACGTTTTTTGCCCCGATTGTGATCATTTAGAAAGAGGTATATTTCATCATTCTACCTCACTGTATTACGTAACAAAGAGACTATATGAGAGAGCGGTCAGCTGCTGGTTAATCACTTGTGGTTTAGCTTGCTTAACACTAAGAGCTCATGCAGCATGGCTGCTATTTACCCTTTGTTTTCCTTTGAGGATTAAATGTTAAATTCAGATACCAAAGAAAGTGAACTTGTTACTTAAAGTAGATATGTTATTTCGTAATAATTTCAATTTTTTAAAGTGCCATGAATGGCCTAAGTTAAATGTTAGTTTTTTAAAAAGAAAAGGGATATATCACTTGTTCCGGAGGAATCTATTTATTAAAAAGAAATTGCGGACTGTGGCAAGATAAATTATAGGATGACTGTCCGAGGAGAGGATGTTACCAGGAAAAATATCGGTTTGATGTCTTAAAAGACTAGGCTACCGGTTCTAGAGCCCGTTCTAGAGTTATGTTCCAGTTGCAGATGCACGTACAGTCTCTCCAATTTTCTATTACTCGAAGTAATGAAGCCAACACTGCAAGATTGGTAATATAATAATTTTTTATATGTAACCGTTAAAGGTTTGTTTTTTAAGTGAAATGAAACCTCAAATGTGAGGATGTCAAATGGCCAGCATGTGAATGTTGGAATCATCCAACTAAAAAGGGAGTTCCTCCCAAAAATGAAACTTTAAAGGCAAGGATGTCAAATGGCTGGCATGCGAAAAATTTGAGCCACCCAATAGTTGACTATAAAGGGAGTTCCTCTCAAAAATAGGATGCATGTAGATTAAAACTATGTAGATTAAACCTAAGTCCCTTGCTTGGAATCATTTAATTGTTGGTAATGGGAGTTCCTCCCAAATAGAACACAGGTATATTCCAGCGTTACACTGCTTGGAATATCTGTAATTACTGAAGAATGGAAGTTCATTCCGAAACTGTTTAAGTATATACTTGATGGAATTTTTTTCCCATTTCATCTTCTTTAAGAAGAATGAAAAAATTAAAGATGCTTGTTTGTAGCCATGCATGACACAAATGTAGAAACCCATTATGTTCAGTAACTAATCCTGTTTTGAGGAAGTTGCTAGCTAGAGCTGCCCCAGCTCGGATCAAATTGTAGCAATAGATTCGCAAAAACGTGTTTTTCCAACTTACTATGACCCCTGATGGAGATTGAAATACAATAAAGCTAATAAATTTGAATTTGTGCACCCTTTTGAAGGCATTGCTACTAAGAAACATTACAATTGGGCAAAATAAGCCACAATTTTCAGTATAAATTCTCAGAGCCAATCCAGCGTCAACTTTTTCAGACTGATAAGCAAGTCTTTTTGCATCATGGCAATCGCATCTGTCCCAGATCAAGTGCTATGGTAATAGAGCTAAGGTAGTTTGAAATGTATTTTTAACAGGAATCATAATATCCTTATATATCTTTTAAAACTAGATTAAAATGGAGAAATTAGCACAGTGAGTGCAGGGAAATGATAACTTTTCATTAAAACTTGACTTTTATCCAACTCTATCTTTGAGGATTGAGGTCCATGCCTCAAACAACTTGACTAAGACTTTATCTTCTTTCGAAAAGTTAAACAATCTTAAGTGTGGATGATCCAAAATTGAAACTTCTAAACAGACATTTGGCCTTATACAGAAAGAATACTAGATATAGCATCATAAGACATCATAAAAATCACACACTTTGATGGGAATGTTTAAGATTAAAATTACTTGAAAGTATCAGCTTTTTAGCTAGGTCACTAATTTTTTAGAAAATGATGCTTTAAATGCATAAACTGTGAAGTCAGTGTTATCACTTTTCATCTTTATTCATACAGTATGTATTACATTAATGTCGGTACTTTGACAGATATTAGTCATATAAAAATGCATGCACACAAAACATTGTGCCTACTTGGGAAGGACACATGAGAAACAGTTCTAAGGATAGCATAGAATCAATGTGAAATCACAGCTTGCTAACCTTATTACATAAGCATGAGCATCTTTTTCAAAGGTCATTGGGTTTGTGTCTTTATTGTTGCAACTTATGATAATCTCCTACTTTTTCAATACATGAATCTTGAATAAGATGAAAGTAAGGCATGAAACATCAGAGGCAATTATGAAGCAATTATATCATTATCAAATGATTCTAATGTAGCTGGCAGACTGGGGAACAATGAAATCCAGTGACTCAATCAGTCATGGTGTCCAAGACATGACCCTCTTCACTGATGCATCAGGGAGTGGTTGATGCTGTGTATGAAATGGCATTTTTGAAGGCAGCCCTTGCTCTTCTAAAGAAGATAATAGTATGACTTAAATTACTTAGAAAGAATCTACATCAAAAGTTGGCCTAATAATGTGTGACTATATGACTCTCATAGTTCAAACTTTATAAATGGGACGAAATCTTTGCTTGCACACATAAAATGATTGTAAAGGTATTCAATGCTCATCCATGGTATAGTCTAGTGTGAGTACATTTACTTTGGAAGTAGATGCAGAATCCAAATATGAAAACATTTGTGCTTATGAAAATGTAATTACTTGAGTTGCAAACCCTTTTAAAGGTTCCCTAATATAAGTTTTATGTTGCTTTAGAGTACTAATTGAGACACATTTTGTGATCTTGAATCTAAGATGAAGATAATCATATCATAATGATATAGGGTTGTCTATGTTTTTTGATAAAATCTTTCAAAAGAAAGAAATGCACAAAGGGCACAACATTCCTTTGTTTGTGTCTAAAAACCAGAACCTGGTGAACATGCAAAGTTGCATCTTTGGGCTTACTCTCTCACCTTCCAAAGAGGAGGGGGTGGGGGGGGGGGGGTGGTGATATACATGTACTCAGTAGTCATTACAGTATACCCAGTTTTGCCAACAAGCAAAGTTCTAAATATTTTTTCAATTATACAAGTTATTGTTAGCTGCCCCAGCTATCCAAGTGTTGAATACTAGTATTGAAGTTTTCTATAAAGCAAACACTTTTGATAACACTTTCTAAAGATACCCAATCTTTACTTGGAATATCCATGTAAGCTATAAGTTATAATTATATTTAACAAGATTAGGCCTGACAGAGGCTTTTTTTGGACATCTACATATTTAATGTAATTAGATATGCTCATTCCTGTAGCACTGTATACTTTACATCACCTCAGATAAATAAGTATTTCACTAAAAATGAAAGTATTTCATTGTTTGTCAATGTGCGTGGCTTAGCGCTAACTACATGCAAATTGTCATAAAACATGACACCTCATTTCATATGAGATGTTTTAAGTAAAACAGAAGATGCTATGAGTAGCAGAATGGATGCAGATAAGCATTGCATTTTTCACATCTAGAGATCACCCTATGCAGACAGAGCCTGTGGGAAATATTGGGTGCGGCGCAAATGAGCGGAGGGTGCGGAGCTAACGGTCATTTTTGAATTTGAAATTGGGATATTTCTGAAACTAAGCCGTTTTGGGACTTCAAATATACCAAGATATGTGTATTTGACACCAAATATCAATAAAATTGTGAAAATAGTAGTGCAATTCATTTTATAGCGACGCAGTATGCCTTAAACATTTCCCAGACCTATATATTTTGAGACTATCCTTTTAATACTGCGTCCCCAGCATTCATAAAAAATGGTGTTCAAGATACACTACCCATGCAAATTATTTTTGCATCTTGGAAGCCAGGCAGTATCTGTGTGATTTTATAAAAATTCGGAAATGTTCTTCAGATATGAGCCCCTCTAAATATTGGGTGCGGAGCTACGTTTATGGAGCTGCTCCGCACCCAATATTTAGAGGGGCTCATATCTGAAGAACATTTCCGAATTTTTATAAAATCACACAGATACTGCCTGGCTTCCAAGATGCAAAAATAATTTGTATAG